ATTAAAATACAAACAATTATAGCATAGCTTGTGGGGCAAAAGTGGACAAAAAAGACACTTCAACTTGACAAGATTATAAAGGAATAATAGAAATTTATGTCATTAAGAGTTATCTTTCTTATCAGAGTATCGATGAACCTTAGATGAAAAATATTAAGAGTGATTAAATTCATTCATAAATTCAATAAAGAATACGAATTGTTAAAACACGGACTCTGGGAGCACCTGAGGTCATATCAGGTGCCTAGGAAGAGTAAGCTTTCCCGGTTGAGTAGTCAAATCCACTGTGAGCTCTCTGTATTGACCAGGTAGACGATGTAATCTGTAGTTAAAATGGATAAAAAATATTGGCCTAACAATCCGTGAATACATTTCAGTCAAAATACGACCCAACGTGATGTTGTATTTATAAACAAGGGTCATTATTACGACTTAAGACTGTGCGAAATGCTGATTTAAAATGGTTGAATCGCTGTAACATCAACTTATTTGTCAGTAGCCTAATTTAAAATTGTACTCAGAGCATGTTCTTGATTACAGTATCAGTTTGGAGACATAATCAGTTTAGAGACATAATCTATCATTTAGACAAGGAGAGTGTGAATGCATGCATGGTCATTTGAAATGGAAACCAATTGTGATGTCCGTGAGATCTGTGTATAAAAACATGTAGCACTTAAAATGTGTGTGTATGTTTGGTAAAACTATATTTTTGGTTAAAGCGACCATGCAGTTACTTTATAACAGAAAATTGAAAAGATAGATTGGTTCACATGAGTATATGGTCATGTGCCTCAATAAACTAAGGTAGAGTCATGTTGACATAATTACGTATTAGGGAAAGTCCTAACATATAAGGAAATAGAAAAAGTGTTACTGTATACTGCATGCATAACTTCCTTTATGGTAAACATGTGGTTATATATCAACAAAAAGTTAAGATGGATAAGTGATACGTCCAGTCAATTGCTGGTATGTCAAACACCAAAATAGATTAGATTGATTTAAGAATACATCACTTAGTTTGGCTGTTAACGACAGAAATTACAAAAAATATTGCATGTTTGGCTGTACAGGTATGTATGTTATTCCCTTGTATATTCACATTTTCTTAATTCTTATTCATATAATTTCAGTCTGTGGTAAACTGTCGGAATTACACTTTATGTAAATTTTCAGGAACACTTTCAGAAATTTTCCATCTGTTTGCTAACCAAATTTGTAACAATATTGTCTTTGTTTGTAGGCTTATTATTACAGAACTTGGTTTCAATACAATTCGCAATTCACTTTCTAAAGCTCTCTAAATTCTTCATAATCATATTTCAGACATTATACTTTTTCCATCTAAGGTAAATTAATTTGATTTTTCCTACCTATATACTGGATTCTTAAGCTTCAGAAAAATCCCTACAAACCGAGATACATTTTACATTGCAGGGTCCAGTAATTTACATACTCTACCAAACTCCTATCTTTCACAGAAATGTTAACGGGTGTGGAGAAACTTGAGATATACTATGCTATAACATATTCAAGAATTGGTGTAAATCAGATGTTGATTCTGAAAAATTCCAGCAAACTTTCAGAAAATTTTAAATCACACAAGTTTTCCAAAGTCATCGACATCAAAACGAACGGCTTTTTAACACTTTTTACAAAGATTCCTTGACTAGGCTTTTGATATCAAAGACAACTGCTTCTTCAATAACTCGGAACTCGGAAATTTTCATACGTTAGTCATCTACACAAAATTTGTGATCCTACACGAAAGTACTTTGAGGTTAATAATAAAGTTTGTTTGGGTTCCTCTTTGACAACATCTACATATATACTGAACATACTAGTCTTTTGAGAACAGATCATCCAACAATCTGTTGCCATCCTGATGGGCACCATTTGTGCTCCTTTATTAGCCGACCTGTTTTATATTCCTATGAAACAGAATTTATCCAAAGAAATATTACACGAGTACTCTTCCTGTGGCCTTCAACTCGAAATTTAGATACATTTGTATATCGACGACGTTTTTATCAATTAACAATAGTTACTTTCATCTGTTTATTCATGTGTCGACTCGATATATCCCAGTGAAGTCGAAATAAAATACACCACAGAGTCAGCCACGTTTCATATCGTGTATGTGTCCAAAATCTTATACGTGAAAAGAAGAAAACACTTGCTGTGGCCTTCAACTCGACATTTAGATATATCGACGACGTATTGTCAATTAACAATGGCTATTTTCCATTCTTATGTCGATAGGATATATCCCGGTGAGCTTGAGATAAAAGATACCACGTAGTGTGACACATCTATTCCATATTTGGATATTTTACTTGAAAAAGACGTTAATGGTAATCTAACAAACAAGCTTTATGATAAAAGTGATGACTTTAACTTTTCAATCGTCAACTTCCCTTACTTATGCAGCAATATACCTTCATCACCTGAATACGGGGTATATATATCTCTAAGTTGATTCGATATGCAAAAGTATGCTCTACGTATGTACAATTTCTAAAACGGGGTAAATTATTGACAAACAAGTTGATGAAACAAGAATATCAGCTGTCTCGTTTAAAGTCATCATTTCGTAAGTTCTATGGTCGATACAATGACCTTATCAGTAAATACTATTTATCATTGAGTCAAATGCTGACTGACGTTTTTCATACTAATTGTTAGGCCATTATTTACACACTGAATTGTCGACAGATTTTTTCGTTATTTCCCGATCATGACAAGGAGCACACGGCGGGTGTGACCGGTCGGCAGGGGATGCTCACTCCTCCATGGTACCTGATCCCACTTCTGATGTTTTAGAGGTCCGTGTTTGCTCTGCTCCTATTTTGTATTGTTTAATGGACTTTTGAGCTTGAATACTGTTCGTTATCTCCATATATTTCATTCTAATAAAATTCTAGCAATATGTTGATTTTATTTTTAACCTTTCTATTCTTGGCATTTTTCCTTTTCTTTTTTTTTCCTGTACTGAAATCTATTCTGGTGGGGGGAAATTACACAAGATTTTCTTCAAACTCTTACGGATTTTCTTGACAAATGGCATAATATTATATTTAAGGAATCACTGTCTAGTTTGTTGGATATGCCAGGGCATCCACGATAGTTGGAAGCGTGGTATAATTTGCATACGATTATACAAATTACCCACGTTTCCATCGTAACAAACTTCCTTATTCCTTATATTTACATATGTAATAAAATTGTACATAAAGATTTTTAAAAATGCTGTCTAATAGATTTAAAATACATGAGGCACCTCATGTTAATTTCAATAGTCCCCGCCCACTGACGTCAGACACAAAGACAGCCGCACGAGACTGACAAGCATTTAAGGCTCCAGACCTTTCACTTGGCGAAATTTACATTCAGGTGTAATTATCAAGAAATCAACTCACCTAACTTTCAAAGAGTTATTACAGAGAAAACAATTTGAAATGTAAATATTTTCTGATATTTCATTGAATTCGTAGAGAATGTTTGGAAAATATTGTGGACACATGAAAGAGCAGATATAAAAACTGACCTATCAAACAATATGAACTCTCGTAACATAATGACGAATACTAACATTCCTGTTTTGACACTTTTCGTGGCTTTTATGAATGCAATCTGTACATAGTCATTCAACATACTTTCCATTAAAAAAAACTATGTAATTGTTCTTTACCATTCATTTCTTTGAGTAAACTCAAATAAAATAGCCAGTGAATGTACACTAATTTTCCTTTAATAATTTTTATGGCATCTGTTTACCTATCAATAAACGCTCCTAACCTGTAAGTCCTGAAGATTTCATAAGGTTTACCACTTCCGGATCAAATCTTATAACTATTATGTATCTCTCTCTCTCTCTCTCAATTTTGCAAATACATGTCTCCCCAGTAGGAAATCATGAGCACATTTCTTCTGCATTCAAAGCTGGAGGAAGATTAGTATCCTCATTAGTGTAGAATGTAAATAGATTTCAATCAAAAAAAATATATTAATGGTAATTTCTTAATATCAGGAGTACAATTACAGACCTAATGTATATGAAAATGTATCCACAATCATTAACTACATGCACCAGTTCTACAGATCTATGTGGATCTCAGGAACTCCTTGATAAAATATGGGGACAATGAACAATAATCAAGCTCAAAAGTCCATCAAAACAATACACATCAGGAGTAGGGCAAACGCTGACCTCCAAAAAACATGAGGTGGGATCAGGTGCCAGGGAGGAGTAAGCATCCTCTGTTGACCAGTTACACTCGCCGTGGGCTCCTTGTCATGATCGGGAGAAATGTCCATAGATAATCTAGTGTGTAAACAATAGCCAAACAATTCGTATTAAAATGTCAGTCAGCATTTGACTCAACGACAGGCTGTATTTGCTGACAAGGTCACTGTATCGACAAAAAACTTGCGAAATGATGACTTCAAACAAAACAGTTGATATCCTTGTTTCATCAACCTGTTTGTCAATAGATTGCCTTGTTTTATAAATTGTTCATACGCAGAGCTACTCTTGCATGTAGAATTAACTGGGAGATATAAACCCCATATGCAGGTGATAAGGGTTTATTGCTATATAGATAAGGGAATCTGAGGATAGAAAAGTTGAAGTCATCACGTTTATTATAAAGTTTTGTTGTTAGGTTACCACTAATGCCTTCTTGTAGTAAAATATCCAGACTCTGTGGTATCTTTTATTTCAAGTTCACTGGGATATATTGAGTCAACCTATGAATGGAAGTAACTTTTGTTAACTGATGATATGTCATCAATATATCTATATGCTGAAGGCCCAGCAAGTGTTTTCTTCTTATGCACTAGTTTTTTAATAAATTCTGCTTCAAATGAATACAAAAATAGGTCTGCTAATCTATCTATATATATATATATATATATATATATATATATATATATATATATATATATATATATATATTACATAGTTTTTAAATTTTAAATGACTAAAAACACATATATTTAAAAAAAAAAAACAAGTTTATTGAAAGGTAATAATTTACAAGCCTCCACACATCACAGCCTGCATTTCTACTCAAAGAAATTCTGCTTACATGTAATATACTGACACAAGTCATTAGCGAAATAGAACTTAAAGCTTGCGTATATAATAAAACACAAGAAAAATTTCACACATGAAAAACAAATTACTTCAACAATTTCATCATCTTTCTAACAGATGAAATTTAAATTTTTTTCTATTCAAAAATCATTGTATTAAATCAATCTATATATTATTCACCATTTTTAAATTAAACTCCGAATAATTTCTTCTAAATTCTGAAGTGTCAGAGGTGTATAGTGTGCATTGGAATGTTTGAAATTAAATTATAATTTGAGGATATAAGCTTTAATTCATTATCAATCAGAACAATACTACCTTGATGAATTTAAATTGATTTGAATAATTTGTAAGATGACATTTTATCGACTTTCTCTGCTTTAACTAATTACAGGGATCGAAATGTTGAAAGAAAAAATTCAACAGTTTACTCAAGACTTAGACTGTCACTATTACAGGTAGAGATGAACATAAGGAGGACTGATAAAGACCTATAATCACATTTACAATATCTAATTCTTCTATTTAACATTAAATTCACAAATAACATACATGTATCATGACATAATTCAAATGTTTATCATTCAGTCCACATCACTCAGAAATAATTCATGTCACTATATACATCAAACACACTCACTGAACAAAACTCCATTTCTTCAATGTGGTGAAGCATTGTTCTTTAATTACAAATGTTTAAACAGAAGATTCTTGATCACATTTTGTCAAATTGTCAGATTTTAGATCAGACATGAAAGTCGTCAGATAATACATCACTACTGATTAGTTGACAATAATAGAAGACAGATCCTGATTGGTTATCCAACACTCCATCAACAGCATAGCTGTTTGCAATGAAGGTTTTCATTGGTTCAGTTTCTGCTCCTCTACTACTGTTAGTAAATCAGGTAGCTTTGTTATTTGAAGACTGAAAAAGACAAACAAAAAGAATCAAAAACAATACCAGACACCCCTCACAGTTTTTATGCAAATATAGGGTAACTGCTTTTGAATATGATTATCAATTTGGAGTTGTGGAAACTAAAACTACACTGAAAACTGCAAAAAATAACAGATTAAGTTTTTATTATTTCTCTTTCTACAGCCATAAACTGCTGATTGTTCTCAGAGATGTTCAACATTCAACCAAATTTTACATGAAGACTGTACATCATTTAAAGATTCATTGGAAGAGTTAATATTTTCATGATTGATATGACACAGTGGAGAAAGTCATTCTATTTATTTACTATTTAAATTTCTACTGTTTTTTCATATCTCTTTTACATACCTAACATGTCAATATTCTCTTATTGCACTGGATTTGTGTATAAACGCATGTGGTTTTCAATGATCTGAAACATCTCATTCGGTTGGGGGATTCTCCCCGTTTCTAATTTTGACCACACAGGAACATCTGCAGAAAATCAAAAATTGTATAATCAAAACCATTACAATCTGAAATCATAAATGACTACTCATCAGAAATATTGTTTTCAGAAAATTCTTTGCTGCTTCTACATTTATTTTAATAACATGATTTTATGAGTTAGTTCTAGTTCTTCATTTATGTAATTCTTGATACTGTGAATAGTCAATACAAATCAGAACCAAATACAGTTGAACTTCAGTATCTCGAACACTGATATCTCAAATACAACAGATATATCGAAGTGATTTTGAAGTCCCATGTGCTTATTTCTTAAGTATTTTACCCTGGGTATCTCGAATCCTCAGATATCTTGAAGCATTTTCTCCCTCCAACAAGTTTGAGATAACGAGGTTTGACTGTATTTCTATCACATAACCATGATAACATTTATTTGTATCATTATAAATAGCTTCACAAACCATTAAATATGACTTCAAAGGCTCCAGTAGATATCATTTGTCCTTCAATAGCATTGCTGATAAAAAACACCATAAGGCAAGCATAAATCTGAAAGAACCAAAACAGATATTTATGACATGTATTATAAAGATATAATCCCCACTTCTCAAACATCTCCAGTAAACAGGCCATAGCAAACTTTGTTCAAATTATTTTTAGCACACTGCAGAATGAAACTCTCTAATATTACATAAGTTATATTATTTTCCTTTTCAATGAATTCAATTCACAACTCCTTATACTTCCATATAAATGTCAAAGAAAGAAATACATGCTGCACAATAAGATGTAAATTCTCTTTATAATATATTCTATTCATTAAAGTTGTACATTTAAGGTTTACCCAAGAAATACGAGTCAAAGCTGTATGTGATTCCTAATCCCTACAAGTTTCACATATATATTTGACACCCTCAACATTTTTTTAATCTTTTAACAGTTAGTAAGACTGCCATTGAAATATCTAGGAAAAATTTACAGCAAGCATTTTACCTTATTTTCTGACGCCCAGTTAAAAATACTAGGTGTCTCCATATTGAGATGAGGAAATGGGTTTTGTCCACTGACAATCATAACAATGAGAACAAGTTTGAAAATACTTAAAAACTGAGCAACTGCCGCACGACCCGAGGGTGGGGGGTAGTTATCACCCTGGATGTCAAGCGCTGGAAATCGCTCATGAAGAAGCTGGGCATACTGGTCAAAGACCTTCCTGTACCCTCAGGAGTAACTGAAAATAAAAATAATAAAAATGGTACAAATTTACTAATTTGTTTACAAAGATTCTCCATTCTTATGAACTAATATTTACAGTATTTATGCATTTCTTCTGCTTATTGGCACTCTAGTGTCACAGTGTTGAGACCAGTATTACAAGTTTACAATTATTGTTTCTAACAGTTAGTAAAAGTATCCTCCATTTCTTTATTGTGAGAATATGGTCTCATACATTTTTACAAAATGTCAACTGAACTTTAAAAAAAAGAGTATCTTCCCCAGGATTAACATAAACTTTCAAAAAGATCAATTCTAAGATGAAGGAGATGAAATGAAGCCGTCAAATAGTTTTTTGACTATTTTTACTTAACAGTACTGTGGAGTCGGTAGAACCTCGCACCATTAAAATCACATAAATCTTTAAAATTAACAAGGATATCGAAGACAAACTATTTACAAACTATTGAACATTTCGTTTTCATGTTTCTTTGTTTCTTTATTCAATGCAGTAACAAAGGAAAAATCAAAAATACCAACACATTACAAGTGACTTATGGTTCAATGGCCCCAACTCTGAGATTTTGCCAATTTAGATCACTGACAGCTTTAATTTGCCTAGTTTGCTTTTAATAATCTTTATGTAGTATTTCAACTTTAAAACACATACACCCATACATAGAAAGAATTAATATTAATTAAACCATGTTATCTTTAGATCCAAATACACAAACAAAAAAGATCATATTATGGGACTGTCATATAGTTAATATTTATTATATATTTACTATATGACAATAATAGACATGTTAATGGCAGAGTTGTGAATCTGTTATTTAATATGTCTATCCCTCTCTCTCTCTTATAGCAAAGGTAGTGAGCTCACTAGATTAACATGCAAGAACAAAGAAAATTTAAAATAAAATCGGCACATTTCTCTGACAATTTTTTGTGTGAATCTGTCATAGTGTGCTATTTTGTGTAAAGATATTTTTTGTAACTATTTAGGATTTGACTTTAAAGTTTAATTGACATTTAGGATTTGACAAGACTCAATCTGTTAAGATAATTATCTGTAATTAATGGCATATGGTCACTCGGTTTCAGCTTAAATAATTATCTGAGTGGTCATCATCAGTGACTCTATATGTCTCATTTATAATTATACTTAATTAACCTCTTCATTATAAATATACTGTTAGGAATTTATTCCACAGTCAGAATATTTTGGAACATTCTACGACACACTGCTTATGTCTATACACTGGCTAAATAAGAGACTGTCCACCAGTCTGCCAGTAGACTAAGTAGTGTGGCGGCTAAATTTATTTTATTATTTTAAAAGTTTATTTCACTTTTTATTTTATCTATCAACTAAAACCTCCTAATTCATACTTCAATTTATTTGTTTTGGCTTTGTTTTATTTGATCATTGTTTATACAGTAATTGAACTAAATTGTAACCTAATAAATTGTAAAAACTGTCTAGCTGCCTTCGAGTTATAGCTCTATGCATATTCGATCTTGGTGTTGTTAAGCCTAAACATAGGCTGACCCCCTGTCTCTTGGTTAGGGCAATGTCAGAGTTAGTTCCCCTTATCTACTGGTGCCCTGTACCTCGGTGACAGATGTGGTGGAGAATCCGGGTATGCATTGTGAATTGATGCTATAATTAGAAGGCAAAAGTAGGAATATTTTTGAGGCGCTGAAAATTAAGTTTACAGAGATGTACCTCCAAGATGAAGATACTGGTAAATCCACACATAAACAAAGATAAGTACAACTTTATTCATGTTCTTTCACTCTTAGATAAGTGAGAAATAAAGGTACAGAAATTCTTTGTGTGGAATTGGTAATGTTTAATTTCTTCATTTCATCTCTAGTACTTTTAGTCAGTTGAATGTCAGTAAATCTTATTCAATTTTGAAGTATGCTGACCTTCTGCAAATGCTTTAGTTCATATAGAAGGATAATACATTTCCAAAATTCTGACTAAGATTTCATAGTTTCAGACTGACAGTCCTGATATAAACATAAGTCATGGGCAAAAGAAGAGCGTCAAAAGGATGGTGCTGTGGAAAGAAGAGGTGTTCAAGGATTTCCAGTGTGACCCATGGGACCCCAGAATGCCAATTCACTGCCTCAATGGAGAGGAACTTTGTAGAAGTTAAGCTGCAGAATCTTCCTGTCAAATGTTTAATTGACAGTGGAGCCTCTATTAGCTGTATAAGTCAGCATCAACTACAGCGACTTAAACCAACTACAGCAATAGACCGATCCACAATAACGAGTGCAGTCGGTGTTTGTGGAGAAGTACATCCCATTCTAGGAGAAACGGTGCTAGAAGTCACTCTTGGACACCACACAGTGAAACAGAAATTCCGAGTTTTTGAAACACTTCATGCAAGAGCCATTTTAGGACTGGACTTTCTATGTGAGAACAAAGTACAAACAGATTTTGAAAATATGACACTGACTATTCCAATTCAGAGGAAATCATCAGGAAACAACAAGAGCGGAAGTACCCCTCATGTTACCATAGCAACAATTCGAGACAATGGTATATTTACAGCAATGGCAAAGATGATCAACTCCGTAATTCTTCAACCCCATTCAGAAACCATTTTGCCAGTTGAAATTCCAAAATTTCCACCATGCACAACAGTGATTCTAGAGCCCTGCCACAAACTTCAATCCAAGTTTCCTATAGCTGGAGGAAAAGCCATCTCTTACATTGACGAAAACAACATTGGCATTTTCAGACTCTTAAATCCTACAAGCCTTCCAATTTATCTAAGGGCTAATCTGCCAGTTGCTTTGGCACAACCTGTGAATTTTGAAAATGTCTATCCTGTTGAAGAGAAAGATCCAGCAATGTTGTGCAGTGTGTTTGATGACATCAAAAATCCTAGCACAGACTGTGAAAGTGTCTTGTCAGACTTAGGAATAAATCTAGATTCTTCAAATTTGACTACAACTGATCGACAGAAACTTTGCAAGTTTCTGTCACAAAATCAGGACATTTTTGCAAAGGATTTATCCGAACTTGGAAAGACTGACATGCATTACCATACCATCCATACCAAGGGTGATAAAGTTGTCAGTTCTGCGCCATACCGCCAGTCTCCTCAGATGCGTGCTGAGTTGGAGCGGCAGCTTGAAGAAATGGAGAAACATGGTATCATAGAAGAATCTACATCACCATTTCATAGTCCTGTGGTGCTAGTGAAGAAACGCAATAATGAGTATCGGTTCTGTGTTGACTTTCGTGCTTTAAACAAGATTACTGAGCCTCTTTCTTTTACCATTCCACATATGTCTGATATCCTTGACACACTAGCTGATGCCAAGCCAGAAATATACTCAACACTTGACCTTCGATCTGGATTCTGGCAAGTTCCATTAGACCCTGCTACAAAACACAAGAGTGCTTTTATTACCCACAAAGGCGTGTATGAATTCAACAGGTTAGCCTTTGGCATGATGAACTCTCCGATGACTTTCCAATGTCTGATGACCAAAGTCCTCAGGAACCTCAATTTCAAAATTGCTTTAGTGTACATTGATGATGTTTTAATATTTTCAAGGAACTTTGATGATCATCTACACCACCTTCACCTCGTATTCTCTAGCTTACGCAGTGCTAATCTAAAATTACATCCCTCCAAATGCAAATTTGCACAGAAAGAAGTTAAATATCTTGGACACATAATTTCAAAACATGGAATTAAAGTCAACCCAGAAAATACAGAAAAAGTGAAAAATTTCCAAATTCCAAAGACTGCCAAAGATGTGAAAAGTTTCCTGGGAATGGCAAACTATTACAGGAAATTTGTCAAGGATTATGCTCGCATTGCATCACCACTTACTTCGTTACTGAAGAAAAATGTCAAGTTTCAATGGACACTGAATTGTCAAAGAGCCTTTGACACTTTGAAAAATGCCCTCATCACCGCTCCAATCCTTGCTTTCCCTGAATTTGACAAACCATTCATTCTGTCAACAGATGCTTCTGAGCATTCTACAGGATATGTGCTAAGCCAGCTTCAGAATGGAAGAGAACATGCAATAGCCTATGGAGGAAGATCCTTGCGTGGAGCTGAATTAAAATGGCACATCACAGACAAGGAAGCTTTAGCTCTCGTTGAAGGAGTTCAACACTTCAAGCACTACCTAGCCAACCAGGAATTCACTGTGTTTACTGACAATGTATCTGTGAAGTACTTACAGAAGATCAAAGATTGTCAAGGACGTTTGGGAAGATGGAGCCTACTACTTCAGGGATACAGCTTTAAAATCATCCACCGTGAAGGAAGCAAGAATCCAGCTGATTGCCTATCAAGACAATTACACAGCAATTCTGATCCATCAGTTTCTTCCGATTTAAGTGAACATCTTTACACTGTTAGCCCCAAAGAATACACAGAAACCATATTATTCTACCAAGGAGAATCAGAAGAAAAAGTAATTGCAAGTTTACAAGAAAGACCACCTCAAGAAGAACTTGATGAAAATCACATTGAACAACATCAGCAAGAGTGTCCTGACTTTAGAGAAATTTACAAGTACAAATTAACTCGAGAAATCCCTGATGATCCAGCTCTGGCAAGAACCATTGTAGCTGAAGCCTACAACTTTGAACTAGAAGACGGCATATTGAAACATTTCTATTCCAAACGAGGCAAGAAAGTCCCTGTACAGGAGCGTTTGGTGAAGCAAATTGCAGTTCCTCGCATCCTTCGTGATGATGTTCTGAAATCCTACCATGACTGTATTCTTGGTGGTGGACATCAAGGGTTTGAACGGACATATGCTTCCCTCCGAAATAAATATTTTTGGCCTTCCATGTATGATGACATTAAAAGATATGTTCAGACTTGTGAAACCTGCCAACAGTGCAAAAGGAATTATGGAGCTAAACGTCCACCTCTGAAACCTCAGATAAGTGATGACATCTTTGGACGATGGCACATGGACATATTAAGTGGACTTCCAACTACTCCAAACAAACACAAACATATTCTTCTTGTAGTTGACAGCTATTCCAAATGGTCTGAAGCATTTCCTTTGCGAACACAAGAAGCAGGTGAGATTGCAAGAGTTCTGTATAAGGAGATAATATCAAGGTATGGAGCACCAAGGACTCTCATTTCAGATCGCGGGAGGAATTTTGTTTCCAATCTTGTGAAAGCTCTATCAGAGATGTTCCAAATCACAAGACATTTAACAAGCTCCTACCACCCGCAAACCAATGGATCTGTTGAAAGAATGAACTCCGTCATTCTCCAAGCCATTCGCAGTTACGCTATGGGTCAGCAAGATGACTGGGATGATCTTCTACTCCCAGGGATCCTTATGGCATACAGAGCCACTCCTGCAACTCAATCTACAGAGTACTCACCATTCTTCATGCTCTATGGAAGAGAGATGTGCCTGCCTATTGATACCGCTTTAGTTCCCAAAGAACATTTAGCTCAGGATCACAAAATATTTCTTGGACGAATTTTACAGAATTTAGAAAGAACCAGGAAAATTGCATCCAAAAATATTGAACTTGCCCAACAAAAGAACAAAGAGCGCTATGATAAAACAGCCCAGGAACCAGAATTTTTCCCAACTCAGAGAGTCTGGCTATATTGTACCAAAGTTCCTGTTGGTAAAGCTCCAAAATTACATCGCCGATGGGTTGGTCCATATTACATCACCATGGTGAACAGACACAACCACACATACAGGATTCGAAACTGTGCCAACAACAAGGAGGTGAAATCACTGGTGAGTGCCCATCGTTTAAAGCCTTACTATGATCCTCTAACCAGGCCAACTAACCCACCTCCAGAACATGTCAATGACAACACTCAACTAGATCCTGATGAAATTGAACAACCTAGAGATCAACTTGCCAACCCTCCAGGAAGAGTGAGAGCACCTGCTTTGCCAAATAGGACCAACATTCCTAGACAGGAAAATAATGGAAGACAACGACAACAACCACAGCAAAAGAATGGAAACAATAATCAACAAAGAGCACCTGCTTTGCCGAATAGGACGAACATTCCACGACAAGAAAATAATGGAAGACAAAGACAACAGTCGCAGCAAAAGAATGGGAACAGCAATCAACAAATTCGACCAGGAAATCCACCTATTGCTGATACCAAACCTTCATGCCAGGACTGTAACCGTGGTAGCTGCACTCCATTCCGTGAGGAGATGATTGACCGTCTCTTGGCATCCAGTAGAGGAAATGGAACCCTTTACTACAAAGTGAAGTTTACAACTGGAATCTCCGAGTGGCATTTCCCTTGTAAAATTCCATCTAAACTAGTGCGACAATTCCATTCCGACAGAACTATGAGCGGGAAAAAGCGAAAGAGACCCCTACATCATACCAAGCATAAATTCTTCGACAAACATGACCAACAACCCAAAGAAAATGTGAATAGTGGTAATTCTCAATCAAATTCAGTGAATGTGCTTGATTCAACTGGGGAGTCCACTACCACAAAATTCCAAGGTAGAGAAGAATTGTTAGCCATACGCATCATGAGAGACCGAGCATACTTCCTCATTCAGACTGGTTCTTCAAATCCAAAATGGGAACCAATGACGTCAGTTCCATCACATGCATCAAAGTTCTTAACATACATGTCTACAAAATTAGAAGACTTGCAACTACAACAAGATATTGACGATCTTCGCAGACAACACCTGAGAGAACCACCTCCTGAACCGTGGCAGTTTTGTGTGGGGCGTGAAATCCATGAAGTTAGATTTGACCCAAAGACTGATCCGCAGTACCTTTTGAGCCATGACAATCCGTCTATAGGTCCAAAATGGGTCAATATTGAATCTCTTCCCCCAAGTATTGTTGCCTCTTTCTTTGAAAACTTCAAGGATGATTATATACGACAGATCTGCTCAGATCATACCTATGAACTTTGTAGCCAAAAGTGTGACATGTATTATGTGTAGTTATCCATGTATTCTTTTCCAAATGCAAAGAAATTCATTTGCTTAATTCCATAATACTCTCAAAATTTACAATTGTCTTTACTGTTACAGTAGTTTTAAGGATTAGTATGAGTGCACGCATATTAATTCTTATTCCTACTACTTTTGGGAATTAAATTTCAAGAGGTAAATTGTCTTGCTTTTGCTCATGAATTTCTTTTCATAAGTCTAGACTGTGTACATATAATCAATTGATGATGTTAAATGATACCATTTTATTGTTAGTACAGCATATTGTATGTTTGATGTGTTCTCAAATATATACTTTTTATAATGTACATATTATGTTTGAGGACAAACATTTTCGAGTAGGGGGGAATATGTCATAGTGTGCTATTTTGTGTAAAGATATTTTTTGTAACTATTTAGGATTTGACTTTAAAGTTTAATTGACATTTAGGATTTGACAAGACTCAATCTGTTAAGATAATTATCTGTAATTAATGGCATATGGTCACTCGGTTTCAGCTTAAATAATTATCTGAGTGGTCATCATCAGTGACTCTATATGTCTCATTTATAATTATACTTAATTAACCTCTTCATTATAAATATACTGTTAGGAATTTATTCCACAGTCAGAATATTTTGGAACATTCTACGACACACTGCTTATGTCTATACACTGGCTAAATAAGAGACTGTCCACCAGTCTGCCAGTAGACTAAGTAGTGTGGCGGCTAAATTTATTTTATTATTTTAAAAGTTTATTTCACTTTTTATTTTATCTATCAACTAAAACCTCCTAATTCATACTTCAATTTATTTGTTTTGGCTTTGTTTTATTTGATCATTGTTTATACAGTAATTGAACTAAATTGTAACCTAATAAATTGTAAAAACTGTCTAGCTGCCTTCGAGTTATAGCTCTATGCATATTCGATCTTGGTGTTGTTAAGCCTAAACATAGGCTGACCCCCTGTCTCTTGGTTAGGGCAATGTCAGAGTTAGTTCCCCTTATCTACTGGTGCCCTGTACCTCGGTGACAAATCCTTCACAGAAATCTTTTGTTACCATGATTCTATATGATAATAGCAAATATAACAGACCTATAGTAACTGGGAGATTTAGTTCTTCTAGAGAGCTTGAAAGAAACAAAAAATAACTGCATCTTCTCTACAATGCCTTTCTTTGAAGAATTGCACTATTTAGATTCTGTTATAGAAATGGAGTCAGTCTAGAATGTCAGTGTTTCTCATTTTGTTTGAAGAGGCAGACCAAAGTTACAACATGTACAAGAGTAAGCTGTGTAAATTACACTCGCCCCAATGGTCACACTCATGAATGCAGGACGGTTCGCCCCGAAAGACCATTTGCGCTGAGATGTTTCATTCTAAGACGATTCGCGCCCATTCCTTTAATTAAGGGATTTAATTAGCCCTTGTTAGTAGTAATTATTAAGTTTCTAGTGACTTTGTATCATTTTTAATTATTTTAATGACTATTCCGTATTACCATTTCAGTCTTTGTTGAATAAAGTATTACCATGCCAAAGTTTTAACATTTATAAAATCATCAATATAAAACAGTAACAAAATCGTAACATTGATATTTAAAGAAACAGGAATCATTGCTTCTGCCTAAGAATTAGTATGCCATTTGGTATTGTTCAATTGTAAGTAGATACTGTAAGGATTCTAAAATTGAATACAGAGGAATTTCAATATTTATGTGTTCAGTAAGTCTGACAAACCGATACACGAAATATTGTAATATTTTGTTTAATGAATTTACTGATCTGAGATGTCTTATTAGATTAAATCCGGCGTGAAACGTCTCAGCGCGAAAGGCCTCTAGGGGCGAATGGTCTCAGAGCGAATCGTCAATAGGGGCAACACATCCCGTTACCACACTCATGACACTGTAAAACATGTTAGTGACCTTTTCTTATTTTCTTAAAGTAGGACCCAATGTCGATAATATTGTTAACTACAGCCAATACTTTGTGAATAATGCTATAGTTGAACCCCCCCCCCCCCCCAATTCTTTTAAAAGTAGCTACAAATATATGTAATTGGAAAAAGTCTTTGGAAGGTTAAGAAGTGTAACGCAAGAGTGTGACAGCATGGGAATCTATCAACTTGATAAGAATTTAGAGTAAGGAAATTGGATAAATATTTTCAGAAAGTGATCTTTTTCCTGTATTGACTTTAATGTTCGA